AATACACAGTCTCTGAGGGAAATTTAGTTGCATCGACTTCCGTCTTTACAACGAATGGTTATAAATGATATATGCCGTAAAGCAGTCAGCACATTTGGAGTTGTTTTGTGTGGCAGGGTTACTGCCACCCTCATCTAAGTTGTTTAGTGTTGGTGAAGTTATGAAAATATTTTATGAAGGTTTGGTTTAAATACAATTTGTTTTCACTCCTTCGATTTTCCAAAAGAACAATATTACAGGATTGTATGATAATAAAACTTTAAAAGGTATAATTTTTTTAATGGTTTTTGTGTCATTGGTATTCAGTGTATTCACCCCTTGGCTGAATTTTGATTCACCCCCCAACCCCCGTTAGAGCAAAGCCTCCTCTAAAGAGGAGTCAATGTTTGTGGTTTTTAAACTGTCTGGCTAACAGTCCGCCATTTCTTTTAAAGCAGCCACTTTTGATTGAGATGTTTATTATCATCTTCTCTCTCCATGGCAGGTTGCTGTAGTTTAATCAGATTATGTTGCGTAACTTTGGTGTAAGTTTGTCTAGACATGACGTAATACAACGGGTCATTTTAAAAAGGTCACCTAAAGTCTTCCAGGTTTCTTAAGTGCTCAGTAAAACTTTCTGATTTAGCCAAAGTTTGAACTGATAAGCAGCTTTTTTTGCCTGCTGTTTCCAGCGGAGCCATACAATGACACGTCTCACAATGCATCCGACCCCTACGGTGGTGAGTCTGTTTCTGTGATGGAGACCTGCTTCCTGTTAACCCTGTAGTTTGACAGTAACATGGTCTGCACACTAATCAGTGAAGCTGAATCTAACCTGAACTAACTGCTTTATCTAAAAGCTCTTTGAATAACATTTTCATAGCTCTGCCTCTGTTTTTCTTTTGGTTTTAAACAGTTTATCTAATGTGTGACTTATTGATGAGTATTTTTTTTTCAGACACTCCGTAGTAAAGGAGTTATATTTCATGATGTTTCGTAAACGCACAGTTTGGTGAATAGTCTGTATGGTGGTGCAGTGGGTAGTGCAGCAAGAAGGTTCTGGGTTAAATTTCCAGTCCAGAGTCTTTCTGCATGCAGTTAGCTGTTCTCTGTGAGTCCTCTCCAGGTACTCCGGCTTCCTCCCACTTTCCAAAAACATGACTGTTAGGTTAACTGGCTTCTCTAAATTGTCCTCAGATGTGAGTGTGTGAGTGCATGGTTGAACGTATCCGTGTTGAGACTGGCAGCCTGTCCAAGGTGTACCCTGCCTTTTGCCCATACACTCCAGGAGATAGGCAAAGACCCCAACAGTCCCTGTCGGAATAAGCAGGAGAAGATGGATGGACTCGACAATGAATTTCATACTGGATTAGAATGTTCCAGTAAATACAACAAGCTGTCCAATAAGGAGGCCCTAGAAAACCCCAACCAATGAGTCAAAGCTCTTATTTCCTTCCATAGGAGGAGCATTAGGTTACAGAATCCAGGAAAATAGCCTTCAGCTCAACTACCCAAACTGGTGGTGAACAATGGTGGAACAGGGAGGAAAACTCTAGAATGTCTCCAAGCAGGACAGTAGTGATGGTCTAAAGTATGCTTGGAGTCCTAGTCTTAGTCTGGGTCTCAGCCTCCAAAGGCTGGTCATGGTGTTGGTTTGGGTCTCTAAAGATCTTAGTCTTGGTCTCAGCTTCTAAAGATCTTGGTCTTGGTCTCAGCCTTAAAGGTCTTAGTGTTAGTCTTGGTCACAACCTCTAAAGGACTTGGTGTTGGTCTCAGCCTAAGGTCTTAGTCTAAGTCCTGCTCTCAGCCTCCAAAGGTCTTGGTCTCGGCCTCTAAAGGTCTTAGTCTTGGCCTCAGACTCCAAACATCTTGGTCTCTGTCTATAAAGGTCTTGGTCTCCTCCCTTTAAAGGTCTTGGTCTCGGCCTCAGCCTCTTAAGGTCTTGTTCTAGGTCTTGGTTTTGGCCTCCAAAGATCTTGGTCTTGTTCTCAGCCTCCAAAGGTCTTGGTCTCTGCCCTTTAAAGGTCTTGTTCATGGTCTCGACCTCTAAAAGTCTAGGTCTTGTCTCGGCCTTAAAGGTCTTGGTTTATGCCTTAGAATCACGTTGATCTCTCACAACCTTTGTCCTAAGCTGCCTCCTCCTGTTAACGATCATGCTGTCACAATAGACCCACACCCCCACACATAAAGACTGATTGACTGAACTTTGCACATTCTCCCTGTGCTTTATTTGACCAACCAGTAGATTTCCTCCTGCAGTAGTTTCAATGGATAATTATCTCTTCTTCTCCTATTTCTTTTTTGACCTGAAATGCTTGATTGAATAAACACCAAACTCCTTCTGTGGCTTTATGTGGCACATCGTCCCTTCAATGACGATTCCTATCATGTTTGTTAAATATTTCTGTAAATGAGAACATTGGCTGATTTTGCCGTCTTTGCTGACCAGCGGTAAAAAGTAATGTTTTTTATCTGTTTTTTTCAAATTCCTTCCTGTGAAACGAGACCGTTAGCGTTAGCTTCTTGCTCACAGATAAGAGATGAAAGCCAGCAGCAAGGAAATGATCAGAATAATAACGTTAGCCGATGTGACAGGGAGGATGTTTAGCTACTTGGAGGAAGTGACTCATGCAGCCGGATAAATTAATGCTTTTGTGCTCAGATTAACCTCCCATCATTTCTCATTTACAGGCCGCAAAGTAGCACAGTCCCCGCCAACCTTCCTGTCCCCCTCAGGGCAAGAGAGCTCCAAAATGGTGCTACGAGATGAGCAACTGCTGCTGGAGTGCATTGCTGCTGGGCTGTGAGCACCAACACCCACACATAAACACAAACATGCTCAAACCGCATCCCTTTGGTCTCATCCAGATAAAATCCCACCATGATTGCAAACATGTTGGTACAGTAATAGCCATTCAAAACGGCCCTTCGCATCTGAATGGAAGCTGAATGGCAGCTAACTTCCCTGCAACTCCCAGCAATATGCCCTCCAACTTCCAACCATGTTTTTTACTCTAA